TGAATGGGATTGTTTTCTTAGATTCCTTTTTTGATAGTTCATTATTGTTGTATAAAGATGGAATTGATTTATAAGTATTTATTTTGTGTCCTGCTACTTGACTGAAGTCATCATTTCTAGTTGGTTTTTTTGGTGGCATTTGTAGGGTTCTCTATATACAGTATCATGTCATCTGCAAATAATGACAGCTTTACTTCTTCCTTTCCAGCTTGGATGCCTTTTATTTCTTCTTCTTGTCTGATTGCTGTGGCTAGGACTTCTAGTACTATGTTGAATAAGAGTGGTGAAAGCACATATCCCTGTCTTTACCCAATCTTAAGGGAAACACTTGTAGTTTTTGCCCATTGAATATGATGATAGCTGTTGATTTGTTATATATGGCCTTTATTATGTTGATGTATGTTCCCTCTATTCCTACTTTGCTGAAAGTTTTTTTATTATAAATGGGGCTGAATTTTGTCAAATGTTGTTTCTGCATCTGTTGATATGAGCATATGATTTTTATCCTTCACTTTGTTTATGTTATCATGTTAATTGATTTTCGGATCTTGAACCAACATTGCGTCCAAAGAATAAATCTCACTTGATCATGGTGTATGATCTTTTTAATGTATTGTTGAATTTGTTGTGCTAATATTTAGTTGAGGATTTTTGCTTCTAGGTCTCAATATTAGGGACATTGGTCTATAATTTTCTTTCTTTGTAGCATGTGGTTTTGGAATTAGGATAATGCTGACCTCGTAAAATGAGCTTGGGAATCTTCCTTCCTCTGACTTTTCTTGAATAGTTTGATAAGGATAAGTATTAGTTTTTCTTTGAATGCTTGGTAAAATTAGCCTGTGAAGCCATCAGGTTCAGGACTTTTATTTGTTGGGAGGGTTTTTGTTTGTTTATTATCATTATCATTATTATTATTATTGCTTTGATTTTGTTGATTTTAATTGCTCTGTTCAGATTTTTTATTTATTTTTTATTCAGTTTTGAAAGTTTGTATGTTTCTGGGAATTTATTTATTTCTTCAAGGTTATCCTAATTTTTTGGCATATAATTGTCAGTAATATTTTCTTATAATTCTTTTTATTCCTGTAGTGTCAGTTGTTACTTCTTCTCTTTCATTTTTTATTTTATTTATTTGGGTCCTCTCTCTTTTTTCTTGATGAGTCTGGTTAAAGGTTTATGAATCTTATTTATCTTTTCAAAGGACCAGCTCTTGCTTTCATAGATCTTTTGTATTATGTTTTTAGACTCTATTTTGTTTCTTTTCTCTCTGATGTATATTATTTCTGTCATTCTACTCACTTTGAGTTTTTTTGTTGTTTTCTAGTTCCCTTAGCTATAAGATTAGATTTTTTTATTTGATATTGTTCTTGTTTCTTGAGGTTGGCCTGTATTGCTATAAACTTTCCTCTTAGGACTGCATTAGCTGTGTCCCATAGATTTTATGTTGTATTTTCTTTTTCCTTTGTTTCAAGGTACCTTTTAATTTTTTTTCTTGAATTGTTGTTGACCCATTTATTGTTTAGTAACATGTTATTTAGCCTCGAAGTGTTTGAATGTTTTTTAGTTTTTTTCTTGTAATTGATTTCTAGTTTCATACCATCATGGTCTGAGAAGATGCTTGATATGATTTCAGTCTTTTTACATTTATTGAGACTTGTTTTGTGGCCTAATGTGGTCTTTCCTGGAAATTGTTCCATGTGCACTTGGAAAGAATGTATAATCTGCTACTTTGGGATGAATTGCTCTGAAAATATCAAATGCATCTGATCTGGTGTATTATTTAAGGCAGCTGTTTTTCCTGGTTGATTTGTTTGTGTGGAAGCTCTATCCATTGATGTCAGTGTGTTGTTAAAATTACCTACTATGACTGTATTACTATCAGTCTTTCCTTTTATGTCCACCAAGATTTGTTTTATATATTTAGGTGCTTCTATGTTGGGTATATAAATGTTTACAAGGGTTATATCCTCTTGTTGGATTGATCCCTTTATCATTATGTAATGTCCTTCTTGGTCTCTTATTACAGACTTTGTTTTAAAGTTTATTTTGTCTGATATCAGTATTGCTACTGCAGCTTTTCTTTCATTTTCATTTGCATCAAGTAATTTTCCCCATCTCTTTACTTTCAGTGTGTGTGTATTGTTTCTTTTGAGGTGCTATTTTTAGACAGCATATATGTGGGTCTTGTTTTGTTATCCATTCAGTTGCCCTATGTCTCTTGATTGAAGCATTTAATCTATGTACATTTAAAGTTATTATTGATAGGTACATAATTGCTATTTTATTCTTTATAATTATATTCCTCTTTATTTCTTCTTTCTTATTCTTAAAAAAGACTGTTTAACAATCCATATGATACTGGTTTGGGGACGATGAACTCCTTTGCCTTTTTCTTGTCTAGGAAGCTCTTCTGGGTAGAGTAATCTTGGTTATAGGTTGTTTGTTTGTTTTTTTTAATCCTCACCTGAGGATACTTTTCCATTTATCTTCAGATAGATGGGAGGGAGAGAGAGAGAGAAACATCAATGTGAGAGGCATCCACTGGCTGCCTCCTGCACGGCCCCAACTGTGGCCAGGGACCGAGCTGCAACTGAGGTACATGCCCTTGATGAGAATCGAACCCGCAACTCTTTGGTCCATGGGCCAACACTCTAACCACTAAGCAAAACCAGCCAGGGCTCCTTCTTTATTCTTTATCACAATCTCGCAATTGAGAAACAGTGCAATACTTCTCCCCACTGCTTGTTCATTCATCAGATATTCACATTCGTTAGGCCTGGCTATGGGGACAGAACGGTGAAGAAAGCATACAGGATCCCTGTCCCCATAGAGTGTACAGCCAGGTTTGCACGTGAAATACAATTGGAAAAAATTATATTATATATGGACACCCCTCCAAATCTAGGAACAAATCTGTTAGGTATCGAGCTTACATTACCTGGTAAATATACAGGTTTTTCTTATTTTTTATCTATCTTTATTGTTGAAAGTATTACAGATGTCCCTCCTATTTTCCCCCATTGAGACCCTACTACCCTCCACTCCCGCCGCCACCTTCACCACACTGCTGTCTGTGTCCATTGGTTATGCATACATGCATATAAATTCTTTCGTTTATCTATTCTTGCCCCCTCACCTCCCTTCCCTCTGAAGTTTGTCATTCTGTTTCCTACTTCCATGTCTCTGGGTCTATTTTGTTCATCAGCTTATTTTGTTCACTATATACCACAAATAAGTGAGATCATGTGATACTTGTCTTTCTCTGACTGGCTTCTTTCACTTAGCATAATACTCTCCAGGTCCTTCCATATTGTCTCAAAGGGTAAAAGATTTCTTTTTTATGGCTGCATAGTATTCCATTGTGAATATGTACCACAGCTTTTTTATCCACTCATCTACTGATGGACACTTGGACTGTGTCCAGATCTTAGCAATTGTAAATAGCACTGCTATGAAGATAGGGGTGCATATATTCTTTCTGATTGATGTTTCAGGCTTCTTGGGCTATAGCCCTAGAAGTGGGAATCACCAGGTCAAATGGTAATTTCATTTTTAATTTTTTGGGGAAACTCCATACTATTTTCCATAGTGGCTGCCCCAGTCTGCATTCCCACCAGCAGTGTGCTAGGGTTCCCTTTTCTCCACATGCTCACCAGCACTTGTTGGCTATACAACTCTTTAGTAACAGTAATTGAAAAACTATAGAAAAGGGACAGTATAATAGTAAAATAATGAGTATAGTCAGACAATAGAATGCTATGCAGCATTTACAGTAATGACCTAGATCAATGTATATCAATATGAATACATCTAAAATATAAGTTATAAAAGCATAATAAGCATAGTATAATATAGGACAGAAACATATTATCATATAATATGGTACACGTCAAAAGTATAATATATTTTTTATTAATATATAGTATAACATTATTTGTGTAAACATTTTATACATAATGTTTATACATAAAAACCTTGCAAGGAATGACCACACACCAATTTTAGAAGAATACATATTGCTCTCTAGGGTGGGAGGGAAGTTGAAGTTTTAACAAATCTTGTTAAAGTAAAAAGATTTAACAAATGTGGCAAAGTTTGACCACTATTAAGTCTGTTGGTGTGTGGTTATCTCATCACTCTTGGTGCTTCTCTATATGTTTTAAATGTTTAATACTTTAAAAATGAAACGGTGGAAAGTTTCTGTGCAGTGCTGCTTTTCTTCGTGCAGCACTTTTCTGTGTTCTGTGCCTTCGACTGTGTTCTCTGTGACATTAATGTTATAGTCCTTAAAAAACCCACTGTAGCCCTGGCCGGTTTGGCTCAGCGGTTAGAGCGTCCACCTGCGGTCCGGAGAGACCGGGTTCGGTTCCCGCTAAGGGCATGTACCTTGGTTGCAGTTTGTCCCCGGCCCTGGTCGGTCGTGCGGGTGGCAGCCACTCGATGTGTCCCTTTCACGTCGATGTTTCCCTCTCTCTCTCTTCCTCTCTCTCCCTCCCACTCTGTCTGTACAAGAAAAATGGAAAAAAAAACAACAAAAAACCCACTGTAGCCACAAGTACTTGATGGTTCAGGAGATTGGGGGTTCTTAGGGGATGTCAGGACTTAGGGGTGTTGTTCCTGTCTTACCAGCAGGTGGCGCTGCTCCACAGCAGATATGGGGTGTGGCGGCCACACCCAAGTAGCCCAGGCCTGCTCTCCTGGTGGAGTGCCCGAGCCTCCCAGTGTGAAGTGCTGTTTTACCCAGGAGCCTAAATGAAGGATATTTAAGTATGTGCAGCTTTCTTTATGTTGTTAGGAAGGGACACATTTGTCCTTTTACACATAGCACATTTTTCTGAGTATTTATAACCTTGTCTAGGTCTCAGGCTAAGAATACAGAAATGATGCCACATATGGCATATACCATGAGCTTCCTTTGCCGTTGCGTTGATGAGCCTGATGCTAATGTGTGGAGAACTTTTTCCCGTTAAATTGACCAGGGAACTTTCCTTTTATTCTAGGTGGAAACGGATTATTCTCACTTGAAGGAGATATGTGATCATCAAGCAGAACAGTTGAGCAGAACCAGCCTCAAACTGCAAGAGAAAACTTCAGAGAATGATGCAGAAATTAAAGACATGAAAGAGACCATATTTGAATTAGAAGATCAGGTGGAACAGCATCAAGCTGTCAAGTTACATAATAATCAGCTCATCAGTGAGCTAGAAAGTAGGTGAAATCAAGCCCTGGTGGGATGTGGGTCTGGAGTGGATGGGATACGAAAGAAACCAGCAGCTGTGGGTAACTGTGAGAGGGTATGTGAGAATGTTTATGAAAAGCCTTTCTTTTGAATGTTCTATAATTTCCTAGGAAGAGAGGCAATTTAAAAAGACAGAATAATCTCCTAAACTAAGCTAAAAACTAGGTGATGTCGATAGGAGAAAAGATCGTGGAACTTGAGTCAGCTGTGTGGGGTAGTTGTAAAAGGGAGCAAACATATTTTAGAGTGTTAGGTATGATGTGTGTGAGCCACACTGCTGACCCACACTGGTCACGTGTGACACTGTGTCCTCCCTTGTGTCTGATGGATAAAAAGATGGGTGGCAGCTGGTCCGACTGATTCGAACAATATGTGCTCTTGGTGTTAAAACCATTTCAGCTTGTGTCCCATTGATGGTAGGATATCAAATAACTTAAAAGGTGGCCACTTTGTCACTGAAGAGGCACTAATATGTGGCTTATTTACAAAGTCATTGTTTGCTTCAAATTGGGAAAGACAGAGCTAGTGAGAAAAATGAGAGACTTGCCGGGGAGGCAGTGTCGGCCGGTCAGACTCGCCGGGGAGGCAGTGTCGGCCGGTCAGACTCGCCGGGGAGGCAGTGTCGGCCGGTCAGGAGGCTAGGAAAATGTAAATACCTGTTGACTTAATGCAGAAAGAGGGCTGTGTGGGCAAGCAGGTTTCTAGCATTGGTGGGAGAGGCTTTTTTTTTTTTCTCACGACACTGGCAAACGAACCTATTATATAAAACACATATAGCATTTTGTTTGACAGAAACGTGACCACAGGCCCACAGGACCTAACCCTGTATTTCCTGTAGGAGCAATATTTTAATGTTTGCTCACTCAGTGTGTGTGGCACCTTCGTGTAACTGACAGATTCTGAGAACTGACTGTATATACTTCGCCTTGATGAACGGGTAGTGCTGGGTTCCAGCCTTCACTAGACGCGATGTGTGGTAGAACTGCTGAACATCGGCATGCACTGCCAGTGGCCCTCACTGTTCTCAGTATCCTACTTGGAAACAAGAAGACCTGGCCGCCCTTGTCAGTGGGCAGTGTGTGTTTACACACAGCACTGTGCCTGAGAAGCAGAGAGTCGAAGAAGGGAAGTCCTGTTTGGTTTGGTTTTTCTCTGAGTGCTACACTGCTGTTGAGAATTTGGTTGTGTTATCCCAAATCCTTAAAAGCTGGCGTAGACACACCGAGGAAGAAACACGGAGTTAACATGCAGAAGAGATGTCAGGCCAACTCCCTGCATTTGCATCATCATATATCCAAGCCTGACAATAACACAGACCATGCATCTTTTAAATGTTTGAGTTCTGGCAGGGATATTAAGATATTATTAAGATGTCTTTTCACTAGAAGGCCCAGGGCCACACAAATCCAGCCAAGGTTAATCACTCCTCCCCGTAAGATCCTTGAAAGAAATGGACAGAAAAGTAAAATAAAGTTACGAAGCATCTTCTTATTCTGTAGCACTGATCCCAAACACGAATTCACAGGCCCCACATGCTCAATTAGAACTGCTGGGGCAGGACCTGACCCTATGGGATTTTTTTAAGCTTCTCTGATAATTCTGATTCACATTCTTGATACACAAAGATGACTCTGAAGTGGGTCATGAGGAAGCATTAAAGAATTTTAACTAGGTAGAGACATGATCAGATTTAAACTGAAATGACTCTGATAGTAACGTGGGAGAATTGGGGGCCAAGGGGGTAAGGAACTAAAGATGTCTTAGTGAGGGAGGAGAGGTGGTCAGGTCACCCTCCCATGGAGCTGTTAAAGTGCACACACGCAGACTGTCTGCCCCAGAGATTCCGATTCTCGGGCAGAGTCTGCGGCTTGAACATCTGTGCTTTTGAAAAGCTTCCCAAGTGATTCTGAGGTTTAACTGTGATTAAGGACTGCCACTCTAGCAATGGCCTACAAGTCGCTGCAGTAATTACTAGTCATATCCTCTGTTACACAGATGCCTCACAGCAATAAAGGGCATTCAGGATGATATGGACAAATATCAGGGAGGCCAAGAATGACTGTGACAAGTGTGAGTAGCTGTTTAGGTCTCTTCCCATAGAACTGCATGGTTGTACAGCCGGTCATCTGAGGGTATACCCTAACTGAAACACCACTTGCTTTTCAGTTCATCCCATGTTCTGTTGTAGAAGAACCTCAGGGTTCTGGGAGTAGAATTGACAGTAGAAAGGATGGGTTTCAAAACTGTTGCCAAACCTGGAGCCGCTCCTGTGCTGCCTTAGCTTCCCTTCTCCCCACAGCTCGCGTCTCGGCCAACTCTTGTCTGACGTCTTTGTTTCTAGGCAGCGTGATGAAGCTGGAGGAGCAGAAGGCAGACCTGGAAAGGCAGCTGAAGACTCTGACGAAGCAAATAAAGGTGAGATGGCGCAGTGACAGCGGGAACGGGTCCTTCCCCGGCATTTTAGTAGGAGTGCTCCCCTCTTAGGTTTGGAAACCTTTGAAAAACACCTGATTACTCTCTCTAGTCTGTTTCTCATAGTACATTTCCATGGCATGGGCCCAAATTAGTACTGGCAGGAAGTAAAATTAAACTGCCATTTAGTTTCAGGAAGGAGAACTCTGATAACACAAACGCATTCCCACCTGTGCCTTTTCCCGGTCGTGAGATGCCATTAAAGCAGTGCCTAAGTACTGCCCAGCCAGTCTGTCTGTGTGGGGCACAGGGGACCCTGGAGCCCCGCCGGGTGCCAGCTCCGGCGGCCACCTGATGGGCTGTGGCCCTGGCATTTTCAGGAGGAAACCGAGGAGTGGAGGCGGTTCCAGGCGGACCTGCAGACCGCAGTGGTGGTGGCCAACGACATCAAGTGCGAGGCCCAGCAGGAGCTGCGCACTGTCAAGAGGAGGCTGCTGGAGGAAGAGGAGAAGAATGCCAGGCTGCAGAAGGAGCTGGGGGACATGCAGGGCCACAGCAGGTTGGTCATGAGTTAGTCTGAGGGCCCCTGCACAGTGCTTGGCTTCTCACTTAATCACCACGCATGGTCTTCGTGACGCTTTTCTGTGTCCGTGCTGAACCTGTGCTCTTTTCTGGGCTCACTCTACCACTTCTGCCACTGCACAGCTGGGACTGTTCCATCCAGGGCCGGTCACTGCTGTGCTCTGCTTAGGGGATGAGAAAACTCCTCACTTACACATGTACAAAAGCTCTAGCCTGGGTTGAAAGAATAGAAGTCATGTCTAGGGTGCCCCTTAAGTCCTGGTGTCTGTCAGTGCAGGAAGCACGCACTTCCGCCGCAGCGGCACCTTTCTAAGGTCACCCTCGTGGCCCAGGGACGCATTTCTGTGTGGGCAACATCTCTGGGCTCCCTCAGAAAGCTTTGAAATAACCCACTTTGTTATAAAAGATGAGCGTTGCCGGGCTGGTGTGGACCATCCATGGACTGAGAGGTCCGGGTTAATTCCGGGGCAGGCACGTGCCCAGGTTGCGGTCTCAACCCCCAGTAGGGGGCGTGCAGGAGGCAGCCCATCAATGTATCTGTCTCACATCGATGTTTCTCTGTCCCTTCCTCTCTCTGTAAAAAAATCAATAAAAACATATTAAAAAATTAAAATTAAAAGGATGAGAGTGGAAAACACATCTGGCAAATATGTGACTCTCCCTTCTGTTCTTGAGGGAGGAAAATCACACAGTCTGTGGCCCCAGGAAGCTTTCTTAACAGCGAAATTTCAGAGGGAGGTATTCCTAAAGTTAAGTATTACTTAACATTTAAATGGTTTGCAAACAAGATTATAAATAATATGTCAGGCTTTAACTAATGCAGTGTTGTATTTCCCAGTCAGGAATACATGTCCTTAACTTTGAGATTCTTGGATATTAGGAAATGCTTTTGAATTTTCTGATGTCTGTCCAATGTGGTATATTAAAATCAGAATTAGTGGGTCTGAATGCTGATTGTACAGTTTGCCCTTTTTACATGTTTTCCAGGATCAGGATGGTTGTTCATTGGCTAGATTCTGAGTCTGATGTATTACAAATTTCATAACATTGGAAAGAATAGATTTTCTCAGAATTCTGTTTTGATTCTCTTGCCAAACTTGCTTCAATCAATCCCTCTTTCTATTGTTTATGACTTTTCTATAAAATAACCTCTAAGAGAAGGATTAAGATAAGGCGTGTAGCTGATTTCACAGTTCACTCTTGAAAATCAAGATCATTATTTTCTAGCCATACCTACAACCTCAGAATACTGTAGCAGTGAAGTTTAAGTTAAGGGAACAGGAGAACAGGAAAACTGGATTTCATAGTGTTTTCTGTTGAAACATTGTGAGGTCATTCTAGTTTTCTTTTGTGTTTCCTTTATTTGTCTATTTGTCTTGGTTTATAGTGTGTGTTTTTGGAAAAGGAACCAAATCATAACTTGCATTACTTTGTTTATAGGTTATTTTAAAGATAAATGATAAAAGACAAGTCTTGAGTTTGTGTTATCCTATGAGATATTTAATTTCTTTCTTTTTTAAAAAAAATATGTTTTTATTGATTTTTTTTTTTTTTAAGAGAGGGGGAGGGAGAGAGAGATAGAAACATTGATTTGAGAAACATTGATCAGCTGCCTCCTGCACGCCCCCTACTGGGGATCAAGCCTGAATTCTGGGCCTGTGCCATGACTAGGAATTGAACCCCTCTCAGTCCATGGGACAAGGCTCAATCCACTGAGCCACACCAGCTGGGATCTTTTTGTTTTTTAAACAAGCATTCGGGTATTTAATAAGGGATATGCCTATGAAAACAGAAGGAAAAAACAAAGGTTATAAATTATAAACTAGTTTCTGAGTTTGTAAGGCTATCAGTCAAGATTTTTAGATGTAAGACAAAGTTTCTTTTGCTGAAATGAAAGCAAGCAGTGACAGTCTAATAGATCCTCTTTATCTGCAGTTTAGATATCTCTGGTGGTGTCATCAGGTGCTCAGGTAAATTGTGTATGGCTTACAATGCACCAGTAGTTCAAGAAGGGCGATGAGGTGATCCCAGTCTTGGCACCATATGTTACCCATGGTGTTGACGACAAATGGCACCGTTGTTACCAGCAAAGTTGAAGTTTACAGAGGTAGTAGAAGTGAGCTGAGCTCCATAGGCTCAGGAAACAAGGCCCCCTATGAGTCGCCAGAGTATGTTACCAAACAAGGGCCTGGGCCTGGAGCGGGTCTGCCTCAGGCTGACCTGGAGTGTGTAGGGTCTTGACTTCATGCAGAAAATATTCCACGAGTCCAGGTGATTCTGAGAGTACATTTAGTAAAGAAAGCCGAGGATGGTGAAACAAGGAAGGGCTTAGGATGGAAGCAGCAACAAGAAAGAGACCAGGTGGGGTTGCTTGGCTCTCTGGAAACATTATAGCAAAGAAGTGAGCCAAGGCAGGGCTCCTGTCAGCTCACTGGAGAGTCAGAGAAAAGGGGGCCTTGGAGGCATATTCAGGGGCTTAGCCCAGGATGAGCTGCCACTGCCCATTGCCCCCCTTATTGCATGTCTCATGGGGTCCGTAGAGTTCAGGAGACGCACGCCTGTAGGAGGAGGAGAGATGGAAGGGCAAGGAGCAAGCATGCGCCTGGGAGGGAGAGCATGCTAAGATGCTGCATTCCTAACATAGATTCTGAGATGCAAGCCTGGCTGTGCAACTTGAACCTGATGTCACAGGACATCAGCTGTAACATAGGGCTCCGTGTGGTACATCTTCAAACTTAGGGTCACTTCTTTTTTTTTTTTTTTGTTCAGGTAGAGTGGGAGGGAGAGATAGGAACAGAGAGAGAGAGAGAGAAACATCGACGTGAAGGGACACATCGTGTGGCTGCCACCCACACGACCCACCAGGGCCGGGGACAAACCGCAACCGAGGTACGCGCCCTTAGCGGAAACCGAACCCGGGTCTCTCAGGACCGCAGGCAGACGCTCTAACCGCTGAACCAAACCGGCCAGGGCTAGGGTCACTTCTTTTAACATAATATGTTTCTCTCTTGATTTTCCAGTGATTTGCAAACCTACCTCCCAAATCCAGCAGTTTAATCCCTTATCGCAAAGCATTTCAAACTTTAGAATTGACACCGATCCGGAACATGGCATGTCACTGAAATCCTGTAGGCCTCAATGTGTTCCTTGCCTACCATTGCGCTGGACAGGACTTCAGACAACTGCTGGGCTGCTTTCTTGTCTGATCTGCGCTTCTCTGACAAACTGCCCCTTCTAAAGAGTTCACTGTTTGAAAGTTAGTACTCACTGATGGGTCAGCCACTCTCTGAACCTACCACATGATCAAGACTTGGAACCAATTCATATCCTCAAAGGCCCTGAAGTGACATAGTGTTTTCTTCTTGACTGAATGGGTTCTTGACTGAAACTCAGTTTGACTTTGACAGTCATCTAATGAGAACTCAAAAGTCATTCTTGGTTCAGGCACAGCCAAAGAACTTGAAGAAAATTCTCTAATGAGGTCTTCCAAGTACAAGCGAGAGAAGGTGAGAGCATCTGAAAAGCACCTTGACCATATAACATGGGCTTAGCAGATTTGAATTCTCATTTTGCATATACGGGCATTTGAAGGAATATAGTTAGGCTAGTATGAGGGCAAATGAAGTTCGCCTTTATTACCAACAACTGTAACTAAGACAAAGTGCACTATTATATAATTAGTATTTTGGATAGTTTAAAAATTTAGCTTATTAGTGATCATCAGTCCTGTTACGTTTTCAAAGGTATTTTTGTTTTAGAGTCAGAATAGCAGATGTTAGGGTGTATGGGAATGAGGCTCGGTCCCGTCTTTGCCACCAGTTGGCAAGGTTTCCTTCCCGGGTGCAGCTCCTTCCTCTCTTAAGTGAGGTGAGCGTTTCTAAGGCCCCGTAAGCTCTGCTGGTCTCAGAGGAGCTGGCCAGCTGGTCTTCCAAGACAGGAGAGTCGGGAGCTCCCGCCAGCAGCACCTTCCCAGCGCAGTCCTCGGACCCTCCTTGGCACAGTGGCATTTCCAAAGTTTGGCTGGGCTGTGGACCTAGCTTTCTCTTCCAGAAATTTAAACAAGCCCATACAGGTTCTATGGCCCTTGAAAGTGACATGTTTTGCTGGACGTGTACAGATTAATGGATGAAAGGATAATAAATAACTTTTTAACTCTGGCTTCTTCCAATTTTGAACCATTAAGAGAAAGACATTGAAATGAAAGCATTGAACCTTTTTCCAGAAACATGAGTCCTGGGGCCTGGCAGACACAGAGCACTTGAGCAGCTCCCTCTCTGGCTCAGTGGGCCCTCACGGCCCTTCTGCAGAGAGACACGGGTGAGCAGCACAGGCCTCGAACAGCAGCAGGGACAGACGATGCGTTTTCTCAGTGGGGACCATTAGCTTTAGGGTGACTACTTGATTTGTACTGTCTATCATATGACACCAAGAAGCGCCCATGGAACACATCTCAAAAAAGATAATTAAGAACACTGAACACCTGTGCCTAATTACCTGGACCGTCTCTGAAATAGAATGTCTGAGATTCAGAATGTGTTTAGCTCGTGCCACTGGTTCTTGTGTTGTCACCTCCGCCGCGGGCAGCATGGCTGCACCTCACTGCGACTCTGACTCGGCTTTCACTGTGTGTGCCCGAGTGTGTTCCGCCCTGTCAGTCCTGTGCTGCCCTGTGTTGTCACGGCTGCTCACCCAGTCCTGTGTGCTGTCACTGAGGGGGAGTGTGGAAGGTGGAGACATAGGCCCTGGTCGCTAAGCCGTCTTTTCCAGCTGTCCTGCCGCAGAGGCTTCGATGCAACACCCCTGGCCTGGGTGAAGGGCACCAGTTCTAATGGAGGCTCCGGAGCAGTTTCTGAACAGACCTCACCTGAGCACTTTGGATTGCCAGGACCTGTGGCATTTGATTTGGTCCTCTGGCACCCCAACAAGCTTAATTTTTTTTTTTAATTCTCACCCCAGGACATTTTTTTGCATATATCTTCAGATAGAGTGGGAGGGAGAGACGGAGGCAGAGAGAGAGAGAAACATCGATGTGAGAGAGACACATTGAGTGGCTGCCACCCGCATAGCCCCAATTGGGGCCGGTGACAAACTGCAACTGAGGTACGTGCCCTTAGCAAGAACCGAACCCGGAACTCTCTGGTCCGTGGGCTGATGCTCCAACCGCTGAGCCAAACCAGCCAGGGCCAACAAGTTTAATTCTTTCATTCTTGTACTACTTGTGTTTTCATAGTTTAAATTGGCATTTATGGCATTAGATAGCCTGTAATTCTAAACAGCTCTGTCTGCTCCCCTGCTCCCCAATCCCCATCTGTACAGATTGGCTCTGGAACATGTGGAGACAAGCTTCCCTTAGGCTTTTAGGATTTTTATGCTATAATAATAAAAGAAATATTTTTCTTTTTTTCTTCTTTGGCCTTGACTATAGGACAGTCAAGGGAAGCATGGCCACTGTAAATTTCAGAGAGCCCGACTTGGCCCCCTGGACCTCTCTCCCTCACCAACACCGCTGTCTGTTGGCGAAGCCCTAGTGGAGGAGCCTCATAATGGCACTTCGAAGTCTTTAGCACTTTCCCTGTCCGAAGACTTTTAACTTCCAAGAAAATTGGAACAGCAGGACTTGAAGCATGTTAGTCCTATTGTGGATATTGGCTTTTCCCTGCGGGACAGTGTCAGCTGTTAATACTTACAGTTGTAGACTAAGATCATGCTCATTAAGAAAGTCCTTTACCAGCCTTTCCTCCCATTTCTATTTTCACAGCTCCATGGTCTCTGTGAGCTAGCAGAGCACTTGATGGAAGAAAGACAGCCCAGCCCTTGCCATGATGGGGAACTACCGCCATTGCTATTTGAAAGGGGGAATAATGTAGAGGAGAAATTACCTCTTTATAAAGAGCCAGGTTGTCTCCTTATAGCATCTAGTTTCACAAACAGTCATTGCAGTGAAGTTTACTTACCTTTTTTCTACATTCTTGGAATCAACTCATTGCACAAAGATGATTCTTCCTCCCTTTTTTTTCCTTTTTCTCAGAAGATTCAGCAGTCTTTTCTTTGGAGCATAAAATGAAATTCTGAAGAAACACACACATACACACACACACACACACACACACACACATACACACAGTACAAATCTGTTGTGGAAAAAAAATGCAGCCAGAGTGTTTAGAGAGCGGTGGCAGAGCCAGTTCAGGGTGTTGATGGGCACAAGCAAGCCAGCTTGTGTTCAACTTTGTGGAGCTTTTTCTTATGCTTCCTTTTGAATATGGTGTCTGGTAATCTTGAAATGAACACTAGTTAAGGCAAGAGAAGAAACCATCTGTGTGGCATCTCATTCTGAAGAAGTTAGAAAGTCCTGCTTTCTTTGTATCAAGGCTTGATGGAGCCTGGGGTCTGACTTCACTACCTCGTCTGAAACGGCCACCCACCGCGTTCTGGCTTTATCCAAAATGCTCTGTGGAGCTCAACATAAATAGATGTTTGGGCGATAATAAAGGATGTAGTTAAACCAGATCGCTTAATGCAGTGACAATGCTAATTGGAATCTAACTGAAAACAACTACAACCAAAGCCTCGTGAGTAAAACTTACCCTGGAAACTTAAAGACTTTAAAAATCTGAAGCCTAAAGCTCAAAGTGTGAGTTTACAGTTTTGGAAGCACATGTCTGTGAAGATCTGTACCAGTTCAGCAAATCCTACCGCAGTCCTGAGAGGAACTGCCGTGCATCCCGGTGTCGGTCGTTAGCAGCCACGTATCGAAAGGATACGACAGGAGTTGCTGTATGAGCCAAGAAAAATTAGAACAGGAATGTCCTTCAACTCAGGGAGACATCGTGCGTGTCACACTGGAGACCTAGTAGGATAGAAATTTATATATTGAGAGACCTTTACCTCAGATTGAGGATTCTTAGAATGAGGTAACATTCATTTGCTGAGTGTTTTCAAATATAAACAATAGGAAAATTTCAACCTCAACTTAAAATGCCCAGCTGTATTTGCACCCGTTTTGCTCTGTCTTTACTCTGGGGTCTGTTGGATATTTTTATATGTAAGCATTTATAAAGTGCTAAATAAATATTACTATTAAGAAGAGTCTGTTGCCTGATTTTGTTTTTAATCACTGGCCATGTTTCTGCAGGGCATTTATGTAATTTTGTTTTTAACTTTCTAGTACATATTGCTTCAGAACTTGAAAACAACGTCAAACAACTAGAATTTGAGGTAGCAAGCTGGACTTCCCATACAAGTTGTAGAGAGGAGGTTGATTTTAAATATGAATGTGATTTTTTACATGATTTTATTATTAGAACAAGAAAGCAAGGAGCAAAAATCCTGATTTTGCATAAATTTTTAAAACTATTGGAAAATACATCACATGAAATTTGAAGTCTAGATTTGTCTTGTTGAAATTTAAAAACATTTGGTGTTTTAATGTATTGGATTTCTTATTATAAAGTAATATTCAGGTATATTGGTAACAAAATGGAGATGTATAAAGAAACTAACCTTTCTTGCCCTCTAGTACCACCCTGTAAGGTAATGTGTTCACAGTATATATTTTCCTTTACTTCTCCATTTGCTCATGTAAATATATACACATATTATATATGGTCAATTTACATAAAAAATATATATGCATATATACATATCCTCATTCAAGGATACTTTTCAAGTATCTTCAGATAGAGTGGGAGAGGGAGAGGGAGAGACAGAGAGGGAGAGAGAGAGAGAGGAACATAAATGTAGGAGAGATACATCAACTGGCCACCTCCCGCATGACCCTCACCAGGGCTGGGGACGAACCGCAACCAAGGTATGTGCCCTTGGCCGGAATCAAATCTGCGACTCTTTGGTCCTCAGGCTGACGCTCTAACCACTGAGCAAAACTGGCCAGGGCCAATATATATATTTTCTTTACAAAAATGGTATTATACTCTGAGCGTTCATGTTTCATTTATCAAATGTATCATGGGCACCCTTCCAGGTCGATATATAGGAATTTAACTCATTTTAATAACTGCATGGAATCCCAGAAGATGGATCTAGAATATTCAAATACTGTCATACTGATGAGCATCAAGGTTATATTTGCTAGTTTTCTTCTTTCCAAATAATACCATAATGATCCTTATTCATATAATGATATAGACTTGTGTTTTATTTTGATAGGATGGGTTCCTAAAAGTATGACTGCTGCATTAGAAAATATGTACACCTTTAATTTTTTAAAATTTACCTTTATTGTTGAAAATATTATATATATTCCCCTTTTTTCCCTCATTGACCCCCTCTTCCCCACTCCCTTCCCCTCCCCTGCCCTATTTTCACCAAACTATTGTCTGTGTCCATAGGTTATGCATATATGCATATAAGTTCTTTGGTTTATCTCTTCCTGCCCACCCCACCCCCTTCCCTCTGAGGTTCATCAGTCTGTTCTCTGCTTCCATGTCTCTGGATCTATTTTTTTTTTTTTCATTAAATTCCACATATAAGTGAGATCATGTGATACTTGTCTTTCTCTGACTGGCATATTTCACTTAGCATAATGCTCTCCAGGTTCCTCCATGCTGTTTCAAAGGGTAAAAAAATCTTTCTTTTTTACAGTTGCATAGTATTCCATTGTTTTAATAGGTAGCACCAGAGAACTTACTTGTGACATGTTACTCTTGATGACAGTGCCTGTTTATACACAGCCTTAGCAGCTGCAGATAGTATTCATCTTAATTTTTGCCAATAGGATAAGCAAAAAATACTATCTCATTAGTACTTCAATTTGCCTTTCCCTGAGCATATTTTTGTGTTAGCCATTTGCATTTTCTCTTTTGAGAATGACTAGCTTAATGCTTATGCTGATTGTTGTTTCCTTATCAGTTTATAAGTCAGTATTTGATTAGCGCTGTATGTTTATCCCTGTATAGTTTGGGTCTTTTGGCTTTCTCATCTTTGTCATGGAAAAGTTTAGACTGCTATGTAATATAATCTGTCATTATTTTCCTTTAGTCCTTCTGGGTGTTTGTTTTTGTTTAAGATTTTCCCCTACCCTAATCTTGTACAAATAAGCTATTACATTTTCTTCATCTGTTTCTCTCTCTCTCTCTCTCTCTCTCTCTCTCTCTCTCTCTCTCTCTTTATATTCCTTTCTTAGTCTGATGTGAGGTCTTTTTCTTCCATATGACAGCCAAGTGTGCATGCCAGCACCATTTATTACAAAAACCGCCCTTTGCCCACTGACTTGAAATGCCACCTTACATTGTTCTTGTCATCTATATTATTGAGAGACTTTCCAATATGCTCCCATTTCTTTTTTCTTGAGCTGGTTCTACTTTAAAGTGTATATATATATATAAATACTTTAAAGTATTTTAATGGAATTATTAGATTGCTGATAACTAATTATTTTTAAACTCATACTTTCATTTTATTATTTCCTTGAATGTTATTGTACTCAAAGCAGATGCTATCAAGTGTCTAATTCTGGTTCCTGTGATAAATTTAAAAATATATGTTCTCCTTTGTGGTCAGTTATTATCTTCATTTATATTATGAAATATATTCATAGATTAGGGCATGTTTTTGCCCCTCACTTTTTCTTGCTTAAACAGATAAAAGTGTATTAGGGCCTCGCATTTACCCAAAGTCAGTCTCAGTAGATTATGCTTAGATCTGTACTCACTTCACCTGACTACTTTAAAATACTTCTTATGACTTAAACTGGAAAAAAAAGGCTCTTAAGGTAAATGTATGTTGCATGTCAGAGACACAGGAGCTCAAACAGAGTACAGAGGGACAGTGCGCATGGGGGACATTCACGTGACCAGTGTCTTCTGTTTGGTGACACTGGAATGTGGGGGTTAGCTTTCCAGGTCTAGTCCTTCTGGCCTGTTGTCCATTTTAGGACATGTACTGCGGCTTTCCTCCTAGCCTGCCCTTTTCACTGCTGTCCTTGGTGCCTGGGGTAAACCATCCCTGCCTCCCGGACGGTCATGTCTTCACGTCACTGACCCTGTGCAGGAAGAAGGCTCTTTGTGCTGTCTGGGCACCCATGCTCCCCCAGGCCTGGTCTCTGGCATAGGGGACATGGGGAGGGGTGGGGGTCCCCATATCTTTATTTTCTTTAAAAGGGAATTGGGAGTAAACCCTTAGTGTTTTCTTTCTATATTTCCTACATATTCTCTGTGTAGCAGAAATCCTTCAAAGTCTAAGGCAAGTAGATATCTTTCTGTAGTTTCCAATACTGATGAAGGATTTTTATGATGTATTTCTTTGGTTCTTATTGTTGGGGTTTGGAGAGTAAGATGCTTGTGTTCAGATTATCATCTGACCCTGTTTGATTTTACTGTCGTATGTATGCTGATGTTGAAATTCAAAAGTGAAGCTCAAGACACTGTTTGACCCTGAGAGACAGACTACTTACTAATTTGTCTTCACACTAGAGCTACAAAATTTGAGAAAGGCGTGGTCACCTTTCTAGAAAGACCTGCATTCCAGACTCACCCTTTGCAGGCCATGTGATCTTTGTCAGATTTCTTCTTCTAAAATACAAGATTTTGTGGAAAATTCAATTAGGTAAGGTTTGTAAGACACATGATGCTATGGAGTTATGCCATACATGTACTTTCTTGTGGAAAAGTATTCTCCTAGTCTTACATGCTGGTGGTGGATGGGAGCACGCCTTGCTGTTGTTTTAAACATGGTCTCTGAACATGGCTGCTGCCTCACCTGAGATGTGCCTGAAGAAAGAAGCTAGGTGTTGTCAGGAAATGAGTGCCTCAGGCTTACTGAAAAATGGTGTATTTGTATTCAGTTGTATTTACAAAACATGTGAGCTGTATATGTGGGTGGTTTAGAGCCTAACATCTGTCTCAGGAGTCAATGGCTAGGCTTGAATAAATGTTTACCCAGTAGTGGTACTTTGCAGTTTTCTGTTCCTTTAATGAATTTGCTGTAATACACCTGGCTGTGTGCTTAAGTGTTTCCTAATATCTCTTATAGAATACAGAGTTCTTACTCTTCCTCGGAACAGAGGAAATGTGATGCCGCTAACCCTTGAACGACACTGGTGTTGAGGCACAGTCGAGAATCTGCATATTAACTTTCAGCTCCCCCAGAACTTAACTACAAATGGTCTACTGTTGACTAGAAGCCTTACCGATAACAGAAACAGTTGATTAACACATATTTTGTATGTTATATTTATTATATACTGTTCCCTTACAATAATAAGCCAGAGAAAAAAGTTATTAAGAAAACCATAAGGAGAAAATATATTTTTCTCTGTATTTATTGAAAAAAATCCATTTATTAGCGGACCTGTGCAGTTCAAACCCATGGTCAGTGGTCAGCTGTACTACATTTGTTGCTGGGGCTGTTACTGGTTGATCCCAAATAATTCTAGGACAGGCTGGTGTAAAGAATGTCAAGCCTGTTTATGATTAAAGTACTAATAACTATTTTCTGTGGTTCTTCAATTCAGGCTTTATTTTGTGAATCCACATACACACCCCTGTTATATAACCAGTAACTTCTCTAATCTACTTAACCTGCAGAGTTTTCTCATACTGACTTATAGTTCTGGCCAGGCAGACATTGTGCCTTTGGCTATCTGAAGGCAGAAGAACTGGGAATTGGTTTATGTAGCTTTGCGATTTTCTAATGGAGTCTGAACAAGTCTTCTGACTTACCATTTGATATTGTCAGTCACAGAGCAACTTGGATAATTGAAGGGAATACTCCATTTCATTCTTATTATCAGGGAATCAAACGAAAATGAAATTTTAAAAATAATCTTCCTTTGAGGAGGGGTGCCTGAGGTTTCTACAAGGCCCTTTGGTAGCAGGTTATTTATTTTTAAATTAAACTTTTTTTTTCAATTAAAGTTTAGATTCAGTATTATTTTGTATTAGTTTCAGGTGTACAGCATAGTGGTTAGACAGTTGTATACTTTACAAGGTGTTCTGATATATCCAGTACCCACCTGGCACCATGTATACTTATTACAATATTACTGACTATTCCTGTGCTGTA